ACTGGGTACAGTCAGAAGCGCGGGAGGGTGAGAGAATTCACCAGAGCCAGAGCTGGGAACAGAGTAGGCAGAAGGACCGAAGTACACTGCTGAGGGGAGCAGCGGGCGGCAGGAGAGGTCTGCGCGCCATGTGGGACTCTCCTTCTGTGGCCGGGGAGCAGCCAGGGATCAAACCGGTGCCGCATAGGCTGCGGGCAGCTTCGCAACCCATCGCTCAACCGCTATGCCACAGGGGAGGCCCTAAATACTGGATTTCTACATATAATCGAGTGTGAAGAAACAATTCTCCTGCTTTAAAAACAGGATGAGGGGATTTAAAAGTTACATGTGTGATATGATATTTTGCTTTCTGTCCCATGCCATTGGAAGCAGCAGCAGTCAACACCAACTTGTGGCATGGGATGAATTTCTAGCAGAAACTTCTGTGACTCTGCTTTGAGTAATTTCTACAAGGTTTGAAATACAGCAAAGAAAAATGCCAGAGTTCCTGATGATGGAAATTACCAACTGTTAAAGAGTCCATTTTAAGTAGATAATAAGATTTATAACCGATTCCATGATTTAGCATCATTGCATGTTCCTGAAGAATCAGAGTTGGTCAAAAAGACTTAACAAGAATAACACACAGCCTGTTTTATTCTCATGAAATTTAAAAAATTTTGGAAAACTTTCAATGTTATTATTTTACTATGCGTTTGCTGAACTTTTAAGGAGAGGTGAGGAGATACAAAAGAATACACAGTAAACTTGTAATCAGACCTGGGTTTGGGTCTTAATTCTACTATTCGTTATGTTTTGGAGTAAGTTACCTAGCGACTTAAAAAAATTTGAATCTAAATGTATTCAAATATCTTCATCCAGAAGACAAAAATATCTGTGCAGCCTACTTCCTATGACTGTTGATGGGAAAAAAAAATCAGAACTGATTATAACAGAATTTCTCAAACTGTGAAGGTTCCTATTTGTATGTGTATGTGCGTATGTGTGTTTCAACTTGAGGTTTCACTACACAGATTGTTAGCAGAATGACCGTGTGGCTATGTGAGTTGTTCAACATGAAATTGGTTATCATTTTAATACCTGTAAGACTTGGGTGGTCCTGGATGATGAAAAACCACAGGCTTCCATTAAGTTCAAAGGTGTTTAGCAGTAGACAGAAAATAGACAATCTAATGAGATAATCAACTTTGGTTCAAGTTGCAGATGTCTATGCATAGAAAAAAGAATTAGGTAATCTATGAGACACAAATGTAAAGGTCACATGCTATGTGAAAACCTCCTCTGAGTTACTGAGTCGCTGATGTAACAATCATCAGTACAGTTTAATGTATGGCATCAAAGTTGCTGACACGAATCCAGTCAGCCACTTGATAGAAATTTTTCTTTGTTTGCAACCCAAGCATGCTGAGAAAGCAAACCCACATAATACATGGGATAATATAATTGTGCCCTTAATTGGCAGAAACCATTGTACTGAATTGCAGGCAACTCTGTATCTCACTCCCACCAGAAATTTCTTATCTGAATTTACATCAGTTATTTGAAAGGGTAAATATCTTCCTTAGTGGTAAGCATCTCAAGCCCCCTGAGAAATCAGAATTCAGCACTCAAAAGTGGAAGAAAAAAATACCCTGTTTTTAATATTTGATATTTAAGAACTTGCTATATTAAAGAAAATTTGGCCATACTAGAGTGGCAGTTCAATAATCACAAATTAAAGTGTGAATTGAAATTTTAATTTAGGCCTGTGATTTTAATTTTAAATTTTTCCAAGTGTATGTACTCTATTGGAAGATTTAAGAGAACTCAAAGCTCATTATTTTATATTTGCTTATTAAATTTAAAAGGTGTGGTTTATAGTAAGACACTTACAACACTTAGGAAGGATATCAACTATTTCAAATTTAAATAGGTAGTCTAAAATATTCAGGGGAGGGCCTCCCCTGGTGGCGCAGTGGTTGAGCGCTGGGCTGCAAAGCTGCCTGCAGCCTCTACAGCGCCGGTTCGATCTCCAGCCACCGGTGAGGGTCCCACATGGTGTGCAGACCTCTGTTGCCGCCCACTGCTCCCCTCAGCAGTGTGCTTCGTCAGTCTGCCTGTTCTGCACTCTGCTCTGGCTCTGGTGAATTCTCTCACCCTCTCGTGCTTCTGACTGTATCCAGTGCTTGTATAAATAAATTAATTAATTTAAAAAAATCATCACTGGCAAAAAAAGTGAAACTTTTAAAAAAAATTCAAGGGAATTAAATTATTTTAAATTTATAATTGGGACCATACATTAATTCAAAAAAAAATTTAAGAGCGAATGTTCAAATTTGCCAAGAGAATGGAATAATAAAATTTATAAGCAGAATTTAAAAGCATTAGGAATAACTAGGATTTTAACTTTTAATTGTAACATATCTAACATTAATTTTAGGGACTAAATAAACTTTTGAATGGTCCCTTCTGCACACAAAAACTTTTGAATGGTCCCTTCTGCTCAAGTTAACTTTAAAAAACTTAAATGAACAACAATAACTCAGGAAAATTATCCTGTCAACTGAATGAGCCGGACTCAATAGAGTTTAGGCTGAAATCAACCTTATTCTTTTTCACCACTTCTCATTAAACTGTCTGTGAAAAAGTTCTTTATCCGCACTCTCATCTCACATAGGTTTCATAGTTTTTTGTCACTCTTACAAAATAAAGACTCCAGATTTAACTTAATAAACAAACATCACTCCAGTTCAGAGCAATTTTAGAACCTCTAGTCTCCTCCCTCGCTTGGCTTGCTCAGGTCTGGCAGCCCAGAGAGTGGGCGGGGGTGTAGTCTGTTTCTTCCTGTGTCCTGGCTCCACTTCTCCTTCCATTCCTCAGCAACCCTTTGGAGGACCTTGCAGGTGGTGAGGGGAGAGCAGGAAAGGACTGCATGGCACAGTCATGACGTCACCCTCTGCCTGTGGCTGATCCCACGTACTGATGTTCCTGATATGATATCACTTGTGGCTCCTCCATAGATGCTCCTTTAGGGGCCTCCAGTTGATGTTTCTATGGCTCAAGTGGGGTTAGGCAGGCTGAGCTCCATATAGTCCAACTCTTTCTTGAAGTTCTTTCTTCACTTTAGACATCCTTTTGGATGTCTGAAAGAGGACACCAGGGTGGATCCCTTCCATATCTAATCCCAAGGACAACCTGTGTTTTTGCCTCTAGCACCAGAAATGCAGCCTATCCCCAATCACTCATTTTTCCTCTTTAACTGTTTTCTTGGGTCTTATGTGACAGCCTGTGCCACATGTTCCGCTGTGTCTCCAATACCAGAGAACACTGGGAAAGAGGAGCGCTGCCAAGACTCCTCCACAGTTCTCCCGAAAGCAATTTTCTCAACTTCTTTCTTCCATGTCAAATCATTTACATTTTCAAATCGGGTGATGGGGCTGACACTGACAGAACCAAAGCTCACTACACCTTGATTTAGGAGTGAAGTTACTTGGGATTTATTATCCCTTTCTTAACTTTTGGGCTCTGAGGTTACTGTGCAACTACTATGAACAAACAATATTCACTGATAATTCACAGATGGAAGGAATTTCACAGAATAACAGATTATCATCACTAAAGAATCGTTTCTCAAGCTGAGACATGTGGACCCTTACAGGTGTCCTGGCATATTCTCTGTGATATGCTTAATTGTTTTGTTTCTCCTTGAAAAGTATAAAAAACATAGAATTCCACCACAAGTTGCACACACTCTCATGAAAAATTTAGAAAACATACAAGAGAACAAAACAAAAATATAAACCTCAGGAGTACAACCCAGAGATGGTCACTGTTACCCTTCTGATATGGGATTGTGGGAAATACATACATCTCTCTGAAGTCTGGGATGCTAGTATTTGTACGGCATTTGATCTAAATGTCATAATCCATTATCTAAATCTGAATAATATTCTACAAAGTTATTTGCATGTATTTCTTTGATAGTTGTAAAATTTAGCAATCAATGCCTGTGATTAAAAAAAATCTAGTTCTGCATAAGGTTTTATACTAAAAAGCAGAAAGTCTTTCACTTTCATCTCTCCCAACCCACATTCTCTGCCCTAGAAGTGACCATTTTTTAACAGTTTCCTTTTTAAACATTGCTGTTGGATCCTCCTGTCTTTAAACCAGAGGTTCTAATTTCTGGTTTCACATTAAAAATTTCCCAGCACAGCCCTCCTGCTTGCCTATGACTATTTTCACAAAGCTTTGTCCCTTTGCCAAGCAGTAGCAGCAGCTTTTTCTGTCCACTGTGTCTGTGAAAACATCTTCTCCTTTCCTTTTGCTAATAAACTAGTCCTTTTACAACATAAAATAAAATTAAACTAAATAAAAAAACTACCCAGAAGTTTCTTAATGTTCCCCATAATTAGACCCTCTATAATATTGACTGATCTGGACCCCGGGAGCTGGATTCTGGCACAGGTATTATTTTTAAGCCCAATAGGTAATTTTGATGTATCTTGAGAATTAAGAACCACTGAGTTATGTAATATACTTACAGAGTAATTGTTTGACTTACCCACTTTCAAAACTATTAATTTTCTATCATGAGAACTGAAGATTTACTTTACTTTCACAACCCCTATCTTTCTCCCTCCCCATGAGTCCCACACTGGGTAGTTATATAATTATTAATGTTTGCCCATGGGTTTATTTATAATTTAAAATAAATGCAGATGTTTATGTGTGCTCATCAGATTCAGATATTATCTTCCTGTTACCAATTATGAAAGATGAGAACACCCTTCTTACCCCCTTCCACCTCTCCACCATCCTCTATCAATTTCTGTTAACTTTCTATGTATTGTGAAGTCAGTTACCACTGTGATCTAAACTATTATGACATGCATGATTACATGATTTATCAATCAGCTGATTCTAAATATCATAAACCATCAATGTTACATATGTACATATATATTTATAGAGACAGCCTATAACAGCGTAACATAATGATTCAGTCTTGCTCTGCCACTTACTAGTTTTATGATCTTGGTCAAGTCACATTTTTCATCTTTAATCTTCATCTCTAAAAAGAAGAAAATAAAACTTATTTTTTGGAGTTGCTGTGAGGATAATTTAACCCATGGCACATAGTAAAGACTCAATATAGTAGCAATTCTTCACTGCTTAGCTCATCAACAGGATGATCTCTAGGCCATATAAAGTAGAATACTTCTTGAATCAAGGTTAAATTAATTTCTTTTTTTATGCTCTAATAAAAGGTTTTTTAAATGCTTTTTTAAAAATTTGTTTTATAACCCCACCACAGATTTCCTGTATCATTTCCCTTGCTTTGCCACAAGTCTCAAAATGTCTTCCTCTTTTTTTTTTTTTGTTCTAAAAAATGTAACATACTCCAAGTATATCTTCAAAATATTTCAGCATTTCCATTATGTGGTCTACTACTGATGGAATCCACTTTCTTCCTGGGCACATTCATCTGCCCTCTGACCTCTTACTACAATCTAGACCAGATGCTTTCTAGGTTTCATGGATACCACCAGGGTCTATCAGTGTTTCCTGCATTCCACCATTTCCTCTCTTTGATCTCTCTCTATTTTTGCTGGTGTAAATCCTCAGATAATTTCCTCGGAATGGTACATGAAAGGCAAATTTTCTTAATCTTTGCATACCTGGGAACTTTATTATTTGTCATCATGCAATCACAAAGAAACCCCAAGCAATGTTTTTTTTTTTATTTTTTAATCAAAAACCTTTTTTATTGAAGTAATATTGCATTATAACATTATATAAGTTTCAGGTGTGCATTGTTGAGAATCAACATATGTATATATACTACATAAGTAGCAGTACTTTTAATTGAAAATTTAAACAGATGTATATACTACATAAGTAGCAGTATTTTTTAATTGAAAAATTCATTTTAGAAGTCATAGGCAATCCTAAGGACTTAGAATAACCAAAACATCTTTCAAGAAAAATAAACTCAGAGTTAATTCTACCCAAATTCAACACTTGTTTTAAAAGTATAGCATTTAGAAAAGTATAATATTGGCATAAACATAAACAAATAGCTCCCTGCCTATAATAGTCCCCAAATCTCAACCACCCTTATCTGTCACTTTTTCTATTTGTGGATCACAAAGAAGACCTTATGCCCTGATATTGGGCATTACCATCCACAGAAATGCATTTCATCCCTAGTAGTACATGTGTTCTAGATCTCAGTAAATCCATCCATTGTATAGATCCAGCTTCAAAATAGGAATCTTACTGCAACCAAGATGCTGTTAATATCTGGCAGTGTTTGTGGATACCTGGACTCTTCTTCTATGGTTGCTACCGTGGTTCATATGACCACCTTCCCCTGTAGATTTAGATACCATTGCCTTCTGGCATCCTGCTTACAATCCTATATTTTTCCATCCATTCTGAAATGATGGTGCTTTGCTTGAAAGGCAAGTATAATAAATTGATTTTTCTATATAACCCCCTGCCCATATATACACACAGACCCCAGATTCCTTAACATGCCTTAATACGACCTACACAAGACTGCCCCCACCTTTCTATAGTTCAGTTTCTCAAATGTGTCATGCTCTATGCACAAGTTTTCTCTGTGCATGGAATGTTCTTTCTTCTTTTTTTCCTTCTACATCCTTCAAATTTCATTATAGGTCGCACATACTTTAGCAAGCCATCTTCAACCTTATTACAATTGGATTAAAATACTCCTAAAATGGCTCCCACAGCCCTGACATTTACCCTTTCTTAGTATCACCCTACTTCTGTTTATCCCACTAAACTATAAGCTTTAGACAGTATTATCTTGCTCATAGTATACAACAATCACTAAATACTGAAATATTTTTAAAAAGTGTAAAACTACCTTAAGTCAACACTTAGCCTCTTCCTTGGGCTATTGTTGGAAAGTATCTGGCTTTATTTTAAAGCAGTTCCAATGCTGCTGGGCTGGTTTACATTACTCTTTCATGAGGGCTAAAAAAGGCAACCAGGCTGTTGGCTGAATTTTCTAAATATGCTATTAGCAATGATCTCTTTTTAATGATTGCCACCTCCTTGCCATTTGGAACAGAGTGGGGAAGTCTCATACCTACAGCCTTATAACCTTTACAGTGCAGAAGTAAATATCAGGCCTTAGTACGAGCAGTTTGCTGCCCAAAACTCCTGGAAGAGAACGTGCTGCTACTTCAGAGGATAGCGGCTCTTGGCCACAGGAGAGCCAAAGGCTTGCAGATTGAGTCTCTGTGTGATTATGTTGGCTATTTGTGTTAGGAAAAGATGGTAAAACCATGAGGCTCCTCAATGCATTTGTAACTGATATTCACAGTGGAGAAAGGATTTGAGAGTCCAATAGCGAATTGGCCCTTTTAGGGGAATTTTATAAGAACTCTCACTCCTTCTCAAGCCACATTTGCATTCCTGCTGAATGGGCTTTTTAGATTCTCCTTGTGAACATGCATAAAATCAACAGCCAAAGAAAATGCATTTTGGAGATGGCTGTGTACCAGGATAAATACAGGTTGGTTTTATTCAAAGATAATGAGATTTTTTTTTCAATTTATGTAGGTAATGACTGACTTCTTTTATCAAACATACCAGACGTTATGAGCATAAATGAGTTCAAGAATCTGGAACATAGGTCCCTTAGGAAGTCATGTACTTATCAAAACCATGCTTCCTCTGCTTATATCCTTTCTGGAGCTCTATGCGGGCATGGTCCCTGCGTCTGTGACATATTCTTTTAGAATGAGCCAAAAATCAGAACTACAATAGTGAATTGGATGGGTAATGGGAAAATTAAAAGATATATTCTCTTTTAAACTGACAATGAAAAGAAAAAAACAAAAAGAGTGAGAAGAGAGTCTGTGTGAGACATTACTATCATGACATGATTCAGTGTGGGAGTATGTCTTAACTTCATGGTAGAAATTCAAGGTTGAGGGCCTCACCGGTAGCACAGCGGTTGAGCACTGGGCTGCAAAGCTGCCCACAGCCTCTGCAGTGCCAGTTAGATCCCCGGCTGGCCGGCGAGGGTCCCACATGGTGCGCAGACCCCTCCTGCCACACCCGCTGCTTCCCTCAGCAGTGTACATCGTTGGTCTGCCTGTTCTGTTCCCTGCTCTCACTCTGGTGAATTCTCTCACCCTCCCACGCTTCTGACTGTATCTGGTGTTTGTATAAATGATAAATAAATCTTTAAAAAAAAAATTCAAGGTTGAGCTTTAAGTAGAACTAACAATGCCAAGTAGGTTTGCTGGTTTATCGTGGCCAGTTGAAGCTTGATCAGCATCAGTCAAGATTCACTATGTCATAGCAAACTTCAAATTTTATCCTTAAAAAAACTAAAGCAAGCAATATCTTTGAATCTTTATTCATATGTGTCTATTCATTAATGTACAGCTCCAAAATCTCAGAGAAGTTCACAGGCACTAAGCCTTAGCTCTCTCTTACTGGCCAGAGCAAAAATGAAGTCACAGTTATACTTAGGCAAATTCATGGTGATGTGAGAGCAGGTAGAGGCCATGAGTCTGCCTACCTGTGTGTAGGGCATCCCAGGACATACCCGTGAGCCCCTCAACCTCTGACAAAGCAAAAAGGCACACGCAAAATATGAATAATACTACCAAGAAGTAGCATTTCCTGATTTATTTTTCTACTCCAGGCATCCTTCTAAGCATATTACATAGATCATCTCATTTAATACTTACCACCACTCCTTGCTATTATTAGTATAAAACATTCCCATTTTATAAGCAAACCACAGAAAAATTAAGTTACTTCTCCCAGGCCACAGGGCCACATTCAGGCAGACTGCTGAATCAAGGGTTTTGTTTAGAAGATGCATTCTCGGCTGTCAAGGGAAGAACTGAAAGCTTTTGCTTTTTATTCCTCATAGTTTCCTCTGTGGGGTTAGAAATGGTTACTTGCATTTTGTAACTATAGAGCTATACCCAAGCAAAAGTAAATAACTGGTCAAAGATAATCTCTGGCAAATATTAACAGATGCAGATGACTATTTGAACATAAAGAATGAAGAACTGAGAAGAGTGAAATGTGATTCTCAGGCTTCAAGCATGTATGGCTTCATTGAAATAGAATGAAGAGGATCATAGGGGAAAAAATCAGTTCACTTTTAAGCATATGGTGCTTGAAAGAGAATGGAATATTCATGTAGGAAAGGCCCATCAGAGAACAGAGCTCCTGTTTCAGAGAAGGTCATAATACTGCATTGTTAATAAGCAAACTGAAGACTAGTTTTGGATACTGCCCAGTCAGGGAACATGAGCAGGAAAAAGAGTAATGGGGAGCCATTGAGGGCTATTTCATTTGAGGTTGCCTAGTATTCATCAAAGTGCAGGGTTTTTTAACTCATGTTTCAGAAGAGACCATGGCAATGATGGAAAGAATATAAACATGATGCTCACTCCTCAAAAAGGTGATAAATATGATATAGAAAGGAATGGAGATGTAGAAATAGATGATAAAGATATATAGACATTTCGATATGGATATATTTGGGGGAAGGCAAGAGAAATGTTTTGATGAGAAGTTATCCTGGAAGATACAGATAGCATCTTTTCTATCAAACTATAAATACATCTGCATTACTTAAAAATAGTTTGCCCTAAAATTTACTTTAAAACAGCACCTTGTAATATATCAGCTTATTCTTCCCTTCCAGGTACCACTTAATTGAACATGTTAGGTCATATATTTTAGGTAACTGTAGTATTTTAGATCAATCTTTCCTCATCATCTGAGTTGGAAAAAACTGTGGTCAACATTTATGTCTTGTATCCTTTCCATATTATTATTACACAATGGTGAATTGATAGCACAAGAATACTCATTCATTCAAATAACCTTTATTTACTGAAAACCTTTTTTGTACTTGACACAAAGATTAGTCAGTCATCAATGAAGTGCTATTACTGCCAGTCACAAAATATCATATATGGTATGATTCTACTTATGTGAAATATTTAGATTAGCCAACTCTGTAGACAGAAAGTAGGCCAGTGATTGCTTAGGGCCTGGGGA